AGGTGATACATTATGAGCCACTGCAGATATATAAATCATACTGTTATGTGTAAGGACTCCGTTGAGTCCTTCACTGTCCGTCGGAAAATGGCACTAGCAAAGGAGCTCAATAGCTCCTACGGAGAAGTTCTAGTACCAACGTGTCTTTTATTTCAGTCTAGACAGGAGAGAAAGGTCTCTCATTAGTATCTACAAGTGGAGGAAATGAGAAAAGGAAAATGAGAAGAGTCAGAAGGAAGAAAGGGTACTCACCTAGACAGGAGAGAAAGGTCTCTGCTGTCTAGGTAAAGTGGAAGAGTGAGACTAAATACAAAGCAGGAAAGGCTTATGTAATCTTGTGACAGGTTTGTGTAAGCCTGTGCGGAGCAGGGCTTACAGTCTCCCCTCCTATAAAAAGAAAATAAGGAAGGGGAAATTAACAGTAGCAAGGACTGAGAAAAAACAGGAAAGTAAGCAGGAGACGTGTAGAAGAGTTCAGGGGTGGTGGCTGATTTGGAAGAAAAACTCAGAGGAGTTTGAGGAAAATAGAATTAATATAGAAAGAAGACTATTGGGAGGTGAGGAAAGTTGGAGGGTAGGTGTGGGGGACAGAGGGTGAAGGTATCAAACATAAAATAAAATTGGATTGTCGGGTGTTGAAGTCAGGTTGGCTTTTTTCTTTTTCTTCTTTTTCTTTTTCTTCTTCATTTCAGTCCCCTCTGTATTGGCCTGCTGGAGGTACTCTTGGATGTCATTGTAGTAATCTAGAGTTGCTTGTGAATATTCTGGGGCTAGTCGGGCATCTATAGCATTGCTGTTTTCATTATCTAAAATTTCAATGCCTCCAACCGCAGCTACCTCAAAGTTGTCAGGTTGAGCAGGTGGTTTTATTGGCTGGGTCTGATGACAGACTAGGTCTAAGTTGTTGATTACAGAAGGTAAAGGAAGAGTGGGATCAATAGGCAATGTGACAGGAAATGAGGTGATGTTGTCATCAATTGTATCAGTGAAGGATTGGGCTAGATTTGTAGTCGGTAAGAGGTTGTCCTGATTGTCTTTGTTGTTGATTAAATTCAAACAGGAAAGAGAAGTTGGAGCAATCACGGCATCGGTAGCTGAAATGAAAGTGAGTTGATGGTCATAGGATCTTGATGGAGCAGAAGTAGTCGCTGTACTAGTAATGGGAGCAGGCCCATTGACGACCAATAGAGTCGACGACTGATCGTGTGATTCAATAATGATCGCCGTAGTAGAGGGATGAGCTGATGATGAGGATGAGGGAGGTGGAAAAGGGGATGGTCCTTTGTTCTGAATGGCGTTGTTGTTGATTAAATCAATGACCGCAGTAGCAGTAGCGGCAGTATTGTCGAGGGATGAAAAATTGTTAGGTTCAACGACATTTGCACTATTAGACCGCTGAGTTAGGGTGATAGCATGCGAGGCATGGGCTTCTAAGGAAGTCGGTCGCTCTAGTGAGATAGCGAGTGCGGGAGGTGGGAGCTCGAAAGAGAACGCGCCTGCAAGGCCGCGTTTGTGAGAGACGGGCGAGTCAGGAGACGAGCAGTGATTAACAGGAGGAGGGGAATGAGGGTCGGCAAGTTGGGGTGTATAATTTTGGGCTGTATTGGCAGCAAATCCAAGAGTCGTAATCGAGTCAGTCGGTGATGCTGAGACCTCCATTGGGTTGACAGCGGCTTGGTGTTTGGTATTGGAGGTGGATGAGCTCTTGGCGGTGTTAGTACTATCGGCAACACCAATTGTTGCTGGTGAAGCGGGGTTCGTTAAGGAAGTAGAGGGTGTGGGCGACGGTACCCTGGCTGGGTGTAAGGATGTATTGCAGGTGGCCAGCAGTCGATTTTGACGACAAGGCGGGGAACTAAAACGTTTCTGTCTTATTGGTCGTCCAATCCGCCAATCCGCCACTAGAGACATTGCTGTCTTGTCGGGTAGAACTGGCTCAAGGCCTCGTTTGATCGAATACCGGAATGAGCCGGCGAGAGTAGGTGTAGAGAGAGAAAAGCAAGTCGAGTTTGTTCCAGCTAATAGGAGATGAACAACCTCCTCCAGGTATCGGATACGAGAATCATAGCGGTTCTCAGTTGGGGAAAACGGCCGTCTAGACCATTGTTGCGTCATCTTGAGTATAGATGGAGGAAGTTGTCAGACCAGGCGCGTTAAGAGAGCTGGTTCAGAACTAGTGGCGAGGATTGTTGAGCTCAAATCAAGTCTTGCACTGATTGCAAAATTGTCCGGATACCGTTAATTGGAAGGTAATGAAGATTGAGGTTCAGAAAAATTTAGGAGAAGATTGTAGTCCTAGCAAATCAGTCGGAAAAGAGATGTCGAAAGGTCGGAAGTCAGATAAGGCACGTTAATGAATTTTTTAAAAAATTCTGCCAGTCTTGTTTGTGGAACTAGAAAAAAAAAGTGTAAGGACTCCGTTGAGTCCTTCACTGTCCGTCGGAAATGGCACTAGCAAAGGAGCTCAATAGCTCCTACGGAGAAGTTCTAGTACCAACGTGTCTTTTATTTCAGTCTAGACAGGAGAGAAAGGTCTCTCATTAGTATCTACAAGTGGAGGAAATGAGAAAAGGAAAATGAGAAGAGTCAGAAGGAAGAAAGGGTACTCACCTAGACAGGAGAGAAAGGTCTCTGCTGTCTAGGTAAAGTGGAAGAGTGAGACTAAATACAAAGCAGGAAAGGCTTATGTAATCTTGTGACAGGTTTGTGTAAGCCTGTGCGGAGCAGGGCTTACATTAGGGGGTATCAAATATAACGAAATCCACCACTTTTTAATTGACGGGTTTTGAGAAATCCACACTTACCAAATCCACCTTTGCAGTGACCAAATAACCTACTTCTTTTGTCAGGGCGTATCAAATATAGCATAAATCAACCCATTTTTTTAGCCCAAAATTCCTGAATTTCCAATTTCAAATTCCAACCATCCCCCATCCTCCACGATTCCCTCAATCCTCCACGATTCAATCCCCACTCACCCCACAGCTTCTTCAACATCTCCTCTTAACTTGCCCCTGCACATCACTCATCATCAAACCAAGTCTGATCAATTGATTAGTTCAAGGTATTTATCTTCAACTGAACCAAAGTATATTTCTATATTTCAATGGCCTCACAAATTTTGTTCTTTTTCCACTACATGCACCCAACAGATGCCTCCAAAAAAAGCTTCCAGATTCCCAACCCTCCGATCACTTCGAACCCCTCCAAAGAAGAAGAGGGCCACTCCAAAGAATACACAATCAAAGAAGAACGATGATGAACTTGGTTCATCCCAAGGTCATCTAAAAATAGAGGACTATGAAATCATCATCGACTGGCTCAGAGACAAGAAAAACTACGTTGCCTGTTTTGGCGATGGGAAGGCTCCTGCGATTGGACGACGACCAAAGGCGATGATAAACGGTTACGAGTTGATGGCGATTCACCTCCGAAATGTTTCTCCAACTAAAATCAATCTTACCCCCCGACAGATGAAAGATCGTTTCAAGTCATACAAGGACAAGTATAAGAAAGCTCATACGAAATCTATGTCAACTGGCTTTGGTCTGACCCCAGCTGATCGGAAGGCTGGAATCACAACGATCGAGGACAAACTTGAAAATATGTGTCCTCTCTACGCTGAAATGGACGAAATCTTTGGTAACCGGCCTGATGTCAATCCGTTGTTTATGGCGGATGCAGAGGATGAAGACAATTCATCTGAATCATCTTCTGAGGACAACAATTCCGATTCCTCAAATGAGATGGATGAGAACGATTCATCTCATAGTTCTGAGTCCACTGCTATTCACCCTTTGTTGAAGAATGCTACTTCTCAAGTCAATATCGTGGCCCTGGAGCAAGAAAACACAGGTGATGTAAGTCAATTGGATTCATTTGTTGTCAGTCATCGGTTCACTGATTTTGAAAGATATTGCCCCGTCAAACAGAGAACGGAAGCTCCGACTGGGCAAGTTCCAATGGATGAAGAGGCAGGTGTCCAGGCTGGGGCAACAGGTGTAAGTTGCACTGTTGAGTGATGGCAAAAAAGACTACAACTATATTGACTTTCTTCATCGTTCTTATCCAGGAACCCACTCCATCGGGTGAGACTGTCCAAGATCCAGCTTCAAAGTCTAAGGCTGTGGGGACCCAGGCGAAATCACCAAAGAAGAAGAAGAACAAAAGCAATCGTGTGCAATCTACAAGCAAGGCACCTGCTCTGAGCGATTCTGGTGAAGACGATTCTGAGTACATATCCCCAAGGAAGAAAACGAGTGCGAAGAAGAAGCGCAAAAGAAGGTCTTCAGGATTGAACGCTGGTTTGACACCCGAAGAGCTTGCTTTGGACGATCATACCGATGAGGACTCCTCTGACACCCCGGCTCCAAGTCCAAAAAAAGGAAAGCGCCGAGCCTCAAACTCCAAGAATATCAATCCCAAAAGCCATGGTCGCCCCTCTGCTGTTCCCAACTCTTTTTTGGCCTACGAAGAATATGCGATGAAAAGAGATGCTGGTCAGTCATCTTACATTCCACTCACTTTTTAACTACCTGGGAAATTAACGATTCTTCCTTTCTCCTTGATTTCTAGGAAAATCTGAGGTCGCTCGGGAGAATCTTGGCTTTGAAAAGATGAAGTACAACAGGATGATTGAAAAGGAAGATAACGGTCTGAAATTGGAAGATAAAAAATTTGAGCATAGTAAAGAAATGGAAGGTAAACGATGGGATCACTCGATGAAGTTGGACGATAAAAAGTTGGAGATGGAGAAGGAGGAGAAGGCAAAAGATCGAGATTTTGAGTTGCAAAAACTGGATCGCCAATCAAATGCCGAGGCTCAAGCGAAGAAGATGGAGGTGTTGGTGAAGTGTTTGGACTCTGGGAAATCGATGGAAGACATAGAGAGGATTGCAAAACTTTTCAACTAGCCTCCCGTTCTGATTATCTTGTTGTAGTATGACTTAACTCAACGGTTTCTTTGCATATTGGAAATAAAAGTGCGATCAAGACAAAAAAACAGATGTGATGAATTACTTTTCTTTACAACCACAAAGAAAATTGATAGACAGTCAGTTTATAGAGCAAGAAAGGAAAATGAAATGATGAGAAATGAGGTTAGTTAAGAGAAAACAGGGCCTTTTTTTTGGTTTGAGGAGTTTTGTTGTAAGAAATAAGGAAGTTAGGGATATTGGAGGACCACGATGACAACAGATAAAAGGAAAGTCAATCACATAAAAGAGAAATGGTAACAGAGAAGCTAACGTCTTTGACGTTTGTTGGAGGGCTGTCGTCTTTGACATTTTTTGGAGGGTTGTTTCGACAAAGGTTTGTTGGCATCGTTATTTTCAGAGGAAGGTTCGTCATCGTTTTGTTGTCTTTTTTTGGGTCTGGGATAAGTTTGAGAGTTATCGAGGATTACACGCATGTCACGAACTTTCCAGTGTTTCTTTTTGGGATCTTTCTTATAGTGACCCTTTTGTTTTTTTTGGATTACCTCTTTGGTTTTTGTCGGGAGTTGGACAGAGTAGCCAAGTCGAGCATGCGGAGAAGAATCGGGAGTTGTCGAGGGAACAGTGAGATGGTGAATGTGTCTGGCTCTCCAAGCACATTCAACAACTCCTTTAAATCCAGAAAAGTCAATACCGAATCCATGTCTGGGGAAAACGAATTCACCGCCGTATCCGTCCAAATCATCTTCTATTAAGTCCCCTGTGGTTTTGTCAATCGGAAGCCATGTGACAAACGTGTATGGCGAGCTATCTCGATCCGTGTGGGGCTTATTTGAGAAATTATCGAAGGTGTATGATAAATGACACGTGAAATCCCCTGGGGCACTGGTGAAAAGAGGTGTTAACCCTGGGGCCCCAATCGCATTATGTTGCCTTTTGACTTCTTGATAAATAGGTCGGGAGAGGGCCTCGAATTGTTGGCCAACGAAGCGACTAACATCATCGACCTGTGATTGAAGCTCTTCATATCCTTCAGGGTCTCGGGATACCTTCTCCGCAATGCCCGTGACGCCAATGATCGTGTCCTTCTCAAATCCCTTGCGCCAACCAAGACTGAACATTTTTCCCGATAATGCTGGACCGTTGATTTTGTTTGGGTTTTGGAATCTGGTCTGTTGAATCAGGTGGTGGGCGACTTTCTGATATTGAGACTTCGTTTCCTCGTCCATGGTGTTGAATGGGCGGAATTTGACCACGGCGATAATGTTCTTCCGAGCTTCTTCTCTCCAGGCAATCACACTATCTGAGAACATTCGAATCGGAGCGTCCGGGTTTTTGGTGCATACATGGGAGGTGAGACTATCATCCAAATCCCATTCGACAAATTTTTGATTGGCTTTGGCTCGTTTCTCCCTCTGCTTTCGGGCCTTGAAGGCTTTGAAACGGAGCTGTTTCTTAGTGAGGGGTGGATCATCGGTAGGTGGTGTGTCTTTGGCGGCAGATTTGGCTTCGGGGGCAGGTTCGTCATCAGTGGCGGATTCATCGTCGGCGGGGGCTTCATCATCGGCTGCGGATTCATCATCGGTGGGGGCTTCATCATCGGCAGCGGATTCATCATCGGTGGCGGATTCATCTTCATCTTCAGTGTATTCATCATCGGTGGAGGATTCATCATCAGCAGTGGATTCTTCTTCTTCAGAGATGGTTTCTTCTGCGGAGAACTCTTCTTCGGCTGAGGATTCTTCTGCGGGGGATTCATCGGTAGGAGATTCTGGAGAGAGGTGTTGAAATCCACAAGGCAACTTGTGAGACATGGACGGTGCCTTGGCCTGCGAGTTGATTGAGGTGGTCATTTCGGCGGGGGTTGGAGTTTCGGCCGGGAATGTGGTTGATATGGGTAGAGGAATAGCCAATGAGTTGTCCACGATGACGTGACCTTTGGCTGGTGATCCCGTAAGAATGCCCACTTCACCATCCACCAAGGCCTGAGGGGGCTCATTCCCCTGAGTTAACGCAGGGCATCCAATCTCGATGTTTCGTACGCACTCAGGAGAATCTTGAGCCCCACACAGGAGACCTGTCCGTGCGGGAAGTCCAGCCTCACTTGGCAGTGCAGGGCATCGCATCTGGATGTTTCGTACACAGCTAAGTGGGTTATGGTTCTTCCCTGGACAGGCTCGGCAGATGTAAGGGGCACCTCGAGGGGTGTCACAGTACCTCCGGTTGTTGTCTTTGGTGAGGGTGATTCTGGACTTCTCGGTGGCGTATGGCGCAATTGTTGAACGGCGGAATTTACAAGGAAATCTGGCCATTGTAGATGATCTGTAATTGATATTAAGATTGCATAATTATTATTCAGCAGTCAGTATTTACATCATAAATGTCTTTCATGACGGATATATAATTTTTTACATAAAAATACCAGGCCAGTGGAGTACAAGATACTAATTGCTCGCCAGAATTCCAACACGGAGGCGTAATGATTGTACTCTGCAGGGGACCAAGTAATACCAAGTAGATGTCAGTACTCATGTTTATTTTGTTTGAAAATACAGGGGACACCTGCGCTTGGTGCTCTCTCAAGGCCCGAATTGCTCTCATGGGTCTTAAATTCACATAAAAATGTGATTACATTGCTCCACGGACGGCTGATAAGTAGCCGTCTCATCCTTCCAGAGAGATTCCTCTCATTACCCCTAACAGGGCCACATATGTGGCCCTGTTCCTCTCTTCTCTTTATAAGGAACAGGGCCGGATATGTGGCCCTGTTCCTCATCTTCTTCCTTCTGGCCCCTCTCTCCCCTCCCCCACCCACCCCCCTTCACACCCCCTCTCTCCCCCCTCTCTCCCCCCTCTCTCCCCCCCTCATCCTCACCCTCAACACCCCCCTCTTCCTTCCCTCACAACCCCCCCTAAAGCTTCTCCCTGAGCCCTCTGGACATGCCAGGGGGCTGCAGGGAGCCTCCAGCGAGTGATTGATCGTTCAAACGATCAATCGCTCGCTCTAGCGCTCGACCGAGCGTTTTAACGCTCGACCGACCGTTCTAACGC